TTAGAAACACCTTAAACACAGCAGGATGTTCAGCAGAGCATTAACCTGGATGCATGTTTCTGTTACTGCAGATGTGAAGAACAAAACCTTCAGCTGATAAAAGCAGGAAATACTTCAACTGATGCTGAATGTGGAGAAAAGGAAAACATCACAGGAATAGTGATCGGTGTGGTGATGGGTTTTTTAGTTCTGGCAGCGACTATTGTTGTTGTTGTTTTTCTCTGGAAATATCAAAGAAAGAGACCATTAGGTAAGATGGAAAAACTGTCATAGAATATCTCTACAGATAATTAAATGTTTTATCTGTTAATATCTGTAACATTTTACTTTTTAGAGATATTTGCACAAAAAACAAAAATCCCAAAGGGTATGTAGGTTTATTAACTGAACAGATTTTGATAGAAATATTCAGTTTATTGAAGAAATCACAGACTTTTGTTCTACATAATAGGATCAAACACAAGAAGAACAACAACATTCCCTGAAGTAGAACAAGTTGTTCTGAATACCCAACCAGGTAAGATAAAACGCTGTTCTTTACCTGATTATTATGGGATAGATTGTTTTTCCTGTCAGTGATCTGGAAGGCTGACATTTTCTCTGAGGAATAAAACAAACTGATGTAATAATTAAAGGACTGTGAGCTGCTGGGTGTCTCCATCCATCTCTAATTGATTCATTAACTTCTCTCATTTTCTCTGTCCAGTGAACTGATGCCTATAGGACCAAACCATGGACTGAACATCTGGTTACTGTAGATTAAACGAGTTTCAGGTTCTGGATCAAACCAAGCTGGATTCTGAAACGTTTGATTCTTCAGTGATCAGAAAGAACAAGTGAAACTTTCTGCTGCTCCAGAGTCACTGATCCTCTACACACAACTTAATGTTGTTAGAAATGTGTTTAAACATATTTAATAAATATTAACTGTTTGATTTTAGATTTAACTCAGTTCATATCTAAAGTACAGTTTTAAAAAAAGCAGTAAATATACATTTATCAGCTCTGTGACTGGAAACCAGAATAACTGGTAAATCTTTATATGTAATGAAACTGTCTTTTTGTTCAGTTTTCAGACTAACCAGAATTCTCAGAATTTCATCAGCAATTTTAATAATCAGCTCTAAAATCAGGATCTGAAGCCTCGCTGCTTTCATCATACCTATGTGTGATGATT